GGGGGGGGGGGGGGGGGGGGGGACCCGTCCTCGCGGAAAGCTGTCACTTGCGAGGCCAAGGAGCTCGCCGAGGTCCTGAAAGCAAAGGCAGACCCCAGGGCTCCTGGGGTTTTAGGGTTTGGGGATTTAGGGATTGGGGTTTAGGGTTTAGGGTTTGGGGTTCGGGGTTGAGGGTTTAGGGATTGGGGTTTAGGGTTTGGGGTTTGGGGTTTGGGGTTTAGGGTGTGGGGTTGAGGGTTTAGGGTTTAGGGTTTGGGGTTGAGGGTTTTAGGGTTTGGGGTTTAGGGTTTGGGGTTGAGAGTTCCGAGGGTTTGGGGTTGAGGGTTTAGGATTTAGCGTTTTAGGGCTTGGGGTTGAGGGTTTAGGGTTTGGGGTTTAGGGTTGAGGGTTTGGGGTTGAGGGTTTAGGGTTTGGGGTTGAGGGTTTCGAGAGTTTGGGTTTGGGGTTTAGGGTTTGGGGTTGAGGGTTTAGGGTTTTAGGGTTTGGGATTGAGGGTTTAGGGTTTAGGTCTGTGGTTTAGGTCTGTGGTTTAGGGTTGAGGGTTTAGGGAGTTTGGGGTTTAGTGTTTGGGCTGAGGGTTTAGGGTTCAGAGAAGTTGGGGCTTAGGGTTTAAGTTGTTTGGGATCTAGAAATTATCAAGTAGGGGTCAGGTTTTAGAGGAGATTCTAGGTGTTACAGTGTTCTCCTTACTGCTGTAAAGGGGTCTGAATACGGAAAGGGTCTCGAAGGAGGTTGTTTGTTCAATCGTTCTTGAAAGGGGCTATTTCTGAAAGGCGTACTTTACCCTGAACCCTAAACCCTAAACCCTAAGAGGCTCCATTTAAGAAGGGTTCGATGAGTCTATGAGTATTTGTCCGGGTTCCTCCGGTCGTATTGGGCTTTTTGGGCTTGCGTTCTATTTTTGGTTGAGGCTTACACGCTTTCGGGCTTGGGGTTTAGGGTAGTGAAGTGAGTCCAGGGAGTCGGATTTGGGGGGGAATCCGGTGGTTTTGCGGTTTAGTGAATTATGATTTAGGGGGACC